AATTTTCATGACTAGCTTTGTATTTTGTTTGACTTATGAAATGCAGTTGATATTTAATAGTAAATTTTCTTGTTATAGGTCTCTTCTTCAACTATTTCAAGGACTTTCAACAAAGTTACAGAGATCGTATATTTAAAAATCAGCCAAGTAGACATCTGGCCAGATCGACAGCAAGTACTTGAAAATATGCCTGCGTCATTTAAATCCAAATATCTAAATTGCCGCGTAATTATAGATTGCACAGTTATATTATAGATTGCACAATTATAGATTGCCTCACTTAAAATAACTCACAACTTTAAAATAAATGCTCCTTATCAGCTTGTAATTTGTTCTATTCGATTGAGTGTAAAAAAAGAATAAAAATTGGTTAATTACTTTAAAATTTTAATTTATTAAACGATTGTTGATTCTCGATTACATTTATTAAAAAATATTAAAATAACTATTTTTTAAGAAACTCTGATGTGATTGACAATAACGGAAGTCCTTTTCAGAATCATTTTTGATGCTGCAGCGTCGAAAATTTATAAAAAAGCTATTAGTTTCAGGAAGTCTGACAAAAAGTTTAAAAATATAGGCTAGGTTTATTGAGTTTAAAGATTTGTAAGAAAAAAAGAAAGAAAATATAATTATCAAACTTACAAGTACCATAATGATACCAGATGCATAGAAAAATAAAAAGTGTTAAAATTGCATAATAAGATTGGAATTATATATTTGAATTTCTGTAAATGTTGTTAGTGGTAGTACTGTCTTCAGTGTACTTTATTTAGTGGCTGTGGTACCTGTCATGCTTTTTAGCTACGAGGATTGAATAGAAGAAGAGTAATACTATTTATCTGAAAAAGAAAATTAATTTCATACAGTTAATTGAAATAATAAATAAAACAATTTCTTATATTTTAATAGTTTAAAACCTGCCGCTATTATTGTAAATATGACTTTCTTACTAATTCATTTTTTTTTTTCTTTTAGGTTCCAATAATTACAAGCTTCAACAGGAAGACGGAAACAGTATTTAAAATAATTTTGTTGGTTTGTAAAAAAATAAAATTTTTGTTTTAAATAAAAGTAATTTGAATTTCAGCTGACTAATTATTTAAATTTGTAGTTTTATAGCTTAAGAAATTCAAGCACCTTAGACAACTATCTTCTAAAAATATGAGTTCCCATAAATAATTTTTACTAATTATAGAATTTGGATAAGTGTTATTTTAAGATGATTTAATTCAATCTATTAAATTTACGAAAGAATTATGCATTTGAAATTTTCTTTTATAGCTTAACAAAAGAAGCAATTACTGCCGAAGGTTTAATATTAAAAACTTCAGATTGATAAATGAAGAAAGATCTCTACTAGTGAAAAAGTGAAATGATATACATTATTCTTCATATAATATATATAATATCTTTATATATAGTATATTTTTTATATAGTGAGGTTAAAAATGATTAACTAGGTGGTCCCTATAACATCTCACCTTCGTAAGTACTAAAAAAAACAGCTTTAGGTTGAGCTACATAAGCCTGAAGTGTAAAATTTCACATCTTTGGTTGATAAATTAATACTTCTAAAAATACAAAAATATATACTTGAGGTTACGAAATAATTATTTAAGGTAGAACATGTAACGCGCGACGTTATAGAAAAATAACCTTTCCAAGTGTTGCAAATACACTTCAGGCTGATTTATAACAACCAGAAGTGTAAAATGGCACACCTTAGGATGAAAAATATATACCTCCACAAGCATAAGATTAGATACCTGAGGTTAAAAAATAATTACCTGAGGTAGAACAAAATACACCTGAGGTTGATTTATAACAACCAGAAGTGTAAAATGACACATCATAGAGTGAAAAATATATACCTCTACAAGCATAAGATTAGATACCTGAGGTTGATTTATAATTACCTGAAGTGCAAAATGACACACCTTAGGTTGTTGAATAAATACTTCAACAAGTGTAAAAAAATATACTTCAGGCTGATAAGTAATAACCTAAGGTTGAAAATGAAACACTTTAAAGTAGTAAATATCTACCTTTCCACAGATGTAAAATTAAACACCTCAGGTTGAAATATACCTCTGGAGGTATATTTGATTTTGAGGTATTCATTTGCACCCTTATCAACCTTAAGGACGTATTTAAATAACAACCTCCTTTATACCTCGATTTTTTGATAAGGAGAAATTTTTAAAATGTTTTTGTTTAAAAAAAATGGCGAGTGGGACTAGTCGTGCATTTATTTCGAATAATTAAAAAGTTGTGACAAAAGTATGTTGCTATCAGTCTTTTTCAGAAAGAGATAATGCATTGTAGCCAACTATTATGCTTTTTGCAAAATATTTTATACAGTGTTAGGCAGTTAACAGAATTTTTGGTGTAATTTTGCCAACATTTCAAAAGCTTCACAAGTGAACTGGATCGAAATGGCGTTTCATAAGAGCTTCTGAATCATTTACATGTAATGGTGAGGAAAATCAAACATTCAAAACAATGAATCATGCATTTAAACGTACTTAACCACTAGAACAGTGTTTCCCAAACTTGTGACTTTTGTGTACCCTTTCTAAATTTTTCGTAACACCATGTACCACAAACAAAAAAATGAATGTATTTCTTACTATAAAAAAATTGCACTAAAGTAAAAAATCACAACTGGCTGCTGACACCACAATTATTAATTGTCAACTCAGCAAAAAATAACCAATAGAAAAATACGTAATCGTAAATTTTCATGACTAGCTTTGTTTTTAAATAAAAATGTTTGAAATTTTCGTTTGTTGCAAGATATTTCGCATAAAAACGTGTACCCCCATAAACTGTTCACGTACCCCTTAAGGTACGCATACCATACTTTGGGAAACACTGCACTAGAAGAATTTTCTGTTGAAGGGAAGACCTGCACTGTAAAAAACCTCGGTAAACGTTTAACCAATGCTTAGTGCAAAGTTTCTAATTGCACCATAAATTCGATAAATGAAAAATTATTTTATTTAGGTTACGGTTAGGTTCTATGGATAAGTTGGTAAATATGATTAAGAAATGCGCTTATGGCACAATCAATTACAACAAACTTTCATACTATGACAGGCAGCACGAGTTTTAACCGTGACCGATAACTCATTTTGTAGCTGTTGACTGATGAACGATTTTGTTGTTGAAGCTTCCTATCATCCCTTGCAAGTTGTCTTTAAAATTGTCTATTTCCTTTGCAGGTAAGTAAACTTTTCTTATTTATTTGCATTAATGACAGTTCATTTGTTTCATATCAACTTTAAAATTTTTATTGTCTGTTTTGAAAGTGTTAGCTTCAAATTTCTTCTAGAAAACTATATTCATTGTATGAATAATTAAATACAGTAGAAACCTCTATTTAACGAAGTTGCTAAATCCCGATAATAAGTTCGTTATATGGAAAGTTTGTTAAACAAAAAATCGCCTTTTAAAATGCCTAAACACAAAACAGGTTCTTAATTCATAAACACTAGACATAATTTAACAAAAAAAGCCAAGGATACACTTTTAGCTTGTAAACTAGTATCTCCTATTTATTTTATAAATCTTAACCATAAAAGAAATCTGCATGGAAAACAAGACTAGAGCAAAACATTTTCCAGTGTTACACTATCACGCTACATACATATGCAACAAAAAACAGCTAAATTTATGCATAAAATTTTGACTGTATTTGCTGTATAAAATTAGAACTGCAAAGTAATTTTAAATAGGGAAAGTGTTCGTTAAATATCGCCATAAATTTTGTTAAATAGAAAATTAGCTTCGCTATTTGGAAGTTATTCTACGAAGAAATCTTCAAAATGTTCTTGGTTCTTCAAAAAAATTCGCAAAATAGAAAAATTTGCAAAATGGTAGTTCGATAAATAGAAATCCGACTGTATTTTTAAATCTATATTAGCTCTTTTTCAGTAAATAATAATAAGGTAATAATAATAAGGAGATACATCCATTTTATGCGCACAGAAAGTGCAATGCGAGTGACAAATAAACTGTAAATACTGCAATCTTAAGCAACAGAGCTTTCCGCCAAATTTACTGCTGGTGAAAATTTTCTAGGTTCGTGTTTTAATTTAATTCCAGCGAACAAACAAAATCATATGTATACTCTGTTAGGATTAAGACTTTTTATCAATATCTATGCTTTTGTTTTGATTATCAAGTTCTATTTTCCTCATTTTAATCCATAATTGTAATCCATATATATATAAATAAAAGGTAACAAAAAGTTTGCATTATTTTTTGTACCTTAACGTAATAAAATATTCTTAGTTTTTTAAAAGAAACAGAAATGTTTCCAACTTTAAGTCCATATGATGAGCCGTGATTGCTCAGGGGACAGAGCATTCTCCTTTCAGTGCGGTGAACCTGGTTCAAATCCCAGTGACGGCTAGTCCATACAAATTCCGAAACTAGCTTGCACTGACCACAATGCTGACGTAAAATATATTTAGTAGTAGACGGATCATGGGCTAGAGTTCTTTTGCAATCAGGCTAACCGTGGGAGGTTTTCCTCCCCTTGTCACGCAAATCCTCCCCGTGTTCTTCCCTCAGACAAATTTCTTCCATTCTGTTCAATTCTACATTGCCTTAATATGGATTTTAAAATTTAAAAAGAAATATATAGAATAACATTTTATCTGCTTAAAACTAAATACTGTATTATTGATTCCGATACTTTATTTATTTTAAATAATTTATTTCTTAATTCATTTCAAAAACATTAAAAAAGGAATTCTAATTACAGTTTTAACACATTGTATAAAACATTCTGATAAGATGATATAACTTGTAGGTTAGACAAATTTTAATTGTATCAAATACATTTAAAATCTGATCAAAATAATTTTTTTTAAAAATTTTTTATTTTGATAGTAAAATATGCAAGCATTATTCTGAAAATGTACCTATACTAAAGATTGCTGTCAAACAGAATGCCGTAGTAAGAAAACCTAACATTCAGTCAATCATAGTCCCTATTTCTAAGTCTCATGATATTGAATGTCTTATATCAGTTCTGCCTAACTGAATTAAAAGAAAAAAATATTGTTCCTCTTCACAAACAGATTCAATAATAAAAGCTCTGGACAAGACAGCTTTCTATAAAAACTTTTTTATAAAAATTTTTAAATAAAGTTATACAAATGAGATTATGAAAATTACTGTAAACAGGTCATTTCAACATTATCTGTATAAACTTACAAAAAGAATAAAATTAGTCAGCAGTATGAACAGAGCAGTGAGCATAAAAATCCTTAACACCATATTCACCAAGGAAACTAACCCACAGGTTTTATGAGAGCAAATCCAGATTAGATTCCAAAATTTCATTTCACCATGTATGTAACTGCGTGTCAGTTGGACCCAGAGTGAACTAACTTTAACCTGAAGATTTCCCGGTTCGAGTAACAGCAGGTGCGCAGAAGGCAAATTTTTATTTGTTTATGTTTTCAAAATTAATACTTTTGATGCTCAGTGAGGTCAATTTATAACTAGATGTAACTATAAGTAATTTATATAAAATAAATGCTTATTAATAAAATTAAAACTAAATTTTCCTGGGTTACTATCTTCTATAGAAGATATAATGTATATTTCTCAAAATATTATTAGCAGTCATTGTTGCACTTAAAAAAGTTTTCACTCAGAAAAAAAAAACTTAGATAATTCAGATTGTGTCCATAATAATAGATCAAATGAATAGTGTAAGTAATAAGATTATAAATAATTTAACTAGCTTTTATTTGTATTTTTTTAATGAAAAAAAAAAAAAACAACTGATGCTTGAAAGAAATATAAAATTTTAAAAAGAATGCAATAAATAAAATTATTATAGATCTCTATGACATCTATTGAGATTAAAGATCTTGCCCAAAAATGAAATATAGTATAGGGATGAACAGGCAAAACAATGTGCAATATTTAGATATGAAAATAACAAATGGCATTTTAAATTTTTTTATCCATAAAACAAAACTATTAATAAAACTAAAAACATTATTTTTAATATATAATAAAAAACTATGCTGAAATTAATATTGTGCAATCAATACAAATCTTGATGCGAGGTAAAATTTTAACTACACAATATTTTTATGTTTGTGTGCAGCTTTATGATACCCATAATAATAAAATATCTAAATTCATAATGATAATACTTAGATCCTTTTGCTCATCTATACAACTCAGTTGGGAAAACAAAAATTAACACCTTTTTCATTTGTCCAGATAAAGAGTGATTCAAATTTAATTAGACACTACAATCTATTTAAGTCTTTCATAGAAAAATTATTTTAAAAATATCAGCGAAAAATGAAAACAATCACAGTTAATAAAGCTGTAAATCTAAAACCGGAAAGCAAGTTAAGAAACCCCCAGTTAGGAAACAGATGGCCCAAAAATATTGAAAAATACACTTTTCGACTCGTGTTCAATAATTTCCAAACCAGTATTTCTGAAGTGGGTGATACACATTAGGTCAGTGTCAACAGTGAATATGGTGTTAAGAATTAACTACAAGAATCAGGTTTCTCACTAGTATAAACAATGCTGTGTTTCATTATATTACTGTTGTAAAATTCTTATTACATATACGAGAATAAGGCTTCTCTCCAGTATGAACACGAAAGTACTCAGTCAGATGACCTCTACGTGAAAAACTCATATTAAATATACTGCACAGATAAGGTTTTTCACTAGTATAAACATAACTATGTTTAGTCAGATGACTTTTGCATGAAAAACTCTTATTACATACAGCACAAGAATAAGATTCTCAACAATGTGAACAAGACTGTGCTTAGACAGATAACTTATTCGCGAAAAAACTTTTGTTGAATATACTTTAAGAATAAGGTTTCGCACCAGTGTGAACACGACTGTGTTTAGTTAGATCACTTTTTCGTGAAAAACTCTTGTTGCATATACTACAAGAAAAAGGTTTCTCATCAGTGTGAACACGACTGTGTTCAGTTAGAGAAATTTTCTGCGAAAATCTTTTGTTGCATACACTACAAGAATGAGGTTTCTCACCAGTGTGAACACGACTGTGTTTAGTTAGATCACTTTTTCGTGAAAAACTCTTGTTGCATATACTACAATAAGGTTTCTCATCAGTGTGAACACGACTGTGTTCAGTTAGAGATATTTTATGGCAAAATCTTTTGTTGCATATACTACAAGAATAAGGTTTCTCACCAGTGTGAACACGACTGTGTTTAGTTAGATAACCTTTTCGTGTAAAACTCTTGTTGCATATACTACAAGAATAAGGTTTCTCACCAGTGTGAACACGACTGTGTTCCGTTAGAGACATTTGTTGCGAAAAACTTTTGTTGCATATACTACAAGAATAAGGCTTCTCACCAGTGTGAACACGACTGTGTTTAGTTAGATAAGTTTTTCGTGAAAAACTCTTATTACATAAACTACAGGAATAAGGTATCTCACCAGTATGAACACGAAAATGCTCAGTCAAATTACTTCTTTCTGAAAAATTTTTATTACATATACTACAGGAATAAGGTTTCTCACCAGTGTGAACAAGACGATGTCTAGTAAGTTTATTTATGTGCGAAAAACTCTTGTTGCATATACTACAGGAATAAGGTTTCTCACCAGTGTGAACACGACTGTGTTGAGTCACATCACTTTTTCGCGAAAAAGTATTGTTGCATATACTACAAGAAAAAGGTTTCTCACCAGAGTGAACACGACTATGTTCAGTTAGACGACTTTTTTTGGAAAAACTCTTGTTGCATATACTACAAGAATAAGGTTTCTCACCAGTGTGAATACGATAGTGTTCAGTCAAAAAACTTTTTTGCGAAAAACTCTTGTTACATATACTACAAGAATAAGGTTTCTCACCAGTATGAACACGACTGTGGTTAGTCATATCACTTTTTTGCGAAAAACTCTTGTTGCATATACTACAAGAATAAGGTCTCTCACCAGTGTGAACATGACTGTGTTCAGTTAGATGACTTTTTTGAGAAAAACTCTTGTTGCATATACTACAAGAAAAAGGTTTCTCACCAGTGTGAAGACGACTGTGTTTAGTTAGATTACTTTTTTGAGAAAAACTCTTGTTACATATACTACAAAAATAAGGTTTCTCACAAGTGTGAACACGACTATGTTTAGTTAGATGACTTTTTTGCGAAAAATTCTTGTTGCATATACTACAAGAAAAAGGTTTCTCATCAATGTAAACAAGGCTGTGTTCAGTTAGATGACTTTTTTGTGAAAAACTCATATTAAATAAACAACAAGAATAAGGTTTCTCAAAAGTGCGAACACGACTGTTTGTTCAGACGACTTATTTGCGAAAATTTTTTGTCACATAAACTACAGGAATAAGGTCTCTCACCAGTGTGAAAACAACTCTTCTTAATCAGATGACTTTTGCATGAAAAACTCTTATTACATACTAGAATAAGGTTTCTCACCAGTGTTAACACGACTGAGATTTGGTTAGATGACTTATTTGTGAAAAACTCTTATTACATATACTACAGGAAAAAGGATCCTCACCAGTATGAACATAACTGTATATAGTCAGATGAATTCTTTGTGAAAAACTCTTGTTACATATACTACAAGAATGAGGCGTTACACCAGCATGAAAAGTACTATGCTCAGTCAGATCACTATTGAAAAAGAAAAACTCTTACTACATATACTAAAAGAAAAAGGTTTGTCACTAATATCAACACGCCAGTATTCAGTCACATTAATATTTGTGAAAACTAATGTTACATACATAAGAGTTGGATTTTAAACCAGCCGATTGTGGTCAGTTAGATGACTTTTCTATGAAAAACTCTGATTGCATGTTTCACAGGAATAAGTTTAAGACTGTGCCATATGCACAAAATTTGTAACAGGTAAACTGTTTATAGAAAGTAAGTTTTTACTTTATTTTAAAACACTTTTTGTCATTTAATGACTATAATTATTTTTCTCCATTCATTGACAATGTCTTTTCGACAAACATTGTGTAAGTATCTTAAAGCACACAAACTAAAATCAAAGAATATATTTCGCACATATTAAAGCAAGAATTGCTTTTTAACATGATGCACAAATTATTTCGAGCACATTTTTCCTGACTCACATTGCCTAACAATAAGCTCGAATTGTTTAGATTGAATGATTGACAACAACATTTGTGTAGTGTAGTGAGACGAGATCATTGCTTATGCTTATAGCTTTCTATTCCCATTAATAAGGCTCTGGCAGAAGCTAGAAAGACAGCAGATACGATACGATGGATTAACTGTATATGAAAGTGGCAAGTTGTTGTTGTTGTAGTTCATTTACGTCGTACTAGAGCTTTACAATGGGCTATTGGCGACGGTCTGGGAAACATCCCTGAGGATGATCCGAAGATATGCCATCACAATTTTGATCCTCTGCAGAGGGGATGGCACCCCCGCTTCGGTAGCATGACAACCTGCACACGAAGTCGAGCACTTTACGGTAGCATAGTTTAACGAGGATCAATACCACACACCCTCGGTTCCTACGCAGACTGATCCAAATGGTCACCCACCGCACACTGACCGCAGCCAGTGATGCTTGACTTCGGTGATCTGCTGGGAACCGTGTCTTTAACGATCAGTCCACTGCGGGACTGAAAGTGGCAACACTTTCACCATCAGAGAAGAAGGAAGTTAGTGATGGGTTGCGTTCCAATATTCGCACCGGTG